TCCCAGATTCTCTGTTTGATGGATTGAAAATGGATGATAAAATGCACTCCGAACATATAGGCTATACGTATACAGGCACCTTCTTTGACAATATACCTTTTTGCATTGCATCAAACATGCTTTGATGGACGAGTCTTGCATCTGCGGGAGGTATCAGTGATCTCTGTCCTTGCCCGTTGTGACGTGCATTCTTGTATTCATTATTACTGACATACCGTTGAGGGACCGCAGTGCGCCTCTTATAGCGCACAGTAAGTACATTGTTGTTCATCGATTGTCTCCAGCGTTGCATGCACATCGCCACCGTCTGCTCCGCTCTTGGATTACGCTGTGCCCTGCCCGCTCCCTTGTGTTTTTTTTTTTGTTGATTTATATATTTTGTTGTTAACGTGATTAAAGCTTCGCGCGAGCTGCGTCCGACAGCGACAACATATGCAAAAAGCAAGGGGAACACGGAACTGGACTAGTACAAGTGTGCAGTTGTGGCATAGCTCAACTGCATATAAACAAGAATTGCAAAGTTGTATCATGTGAAAAATTTTGCTCTAAATTAACTCATGATCAAGTAGCAACTCATAAACAAATTCATCCAAACAAATGATATGTATTAGTTTTCGAGGTGATTTAGGGCCAAGGATCAAGTTCAAACAAAATTCCTGCTTCAAGCTATACTTGTCGTGGATGACGTAGGTGGGATTGCTAAATTTGAAAAAATGCAAAAAAACAAAACACGAAAAGTAATAAAAACCTTCGGCTGTTGCTTCGACTTCTCCCGTGAGATCCGGAAACGATCGTTTTCTGGGAACTGACATTTCTCGCTGTTTTTCGGCCTCAGCATCGGGGACTACTACTTCAGTACTGCTTGCAGATGATGTGGAGATTTCTTCACGATCGGCATGACTCTCGCTTTCTCGATTCCTCCCATCTGTTCGTTCATCTGATGCTTCGTCTGTAGACGAATTTTCTTCGGCAGCATCCTTAACTGTCACCGAAGAAACTGTTTCTTTTTCGGGCCCAGCAGCACTGTTAAGGGTTTTTACTGAACGGGCTTCTTCCAGCTTTGAGGGTTTCTGAAATCTTTCTAGTTCCACTGCGTCCTCGCTGCTCATTTTGCTTCTCTGCAAAAAAAGAAAAACCATGAACCTAATGTGGGAGATTTAGAACCGGAGTTCTGCTAAACAGTACAGAAAATGTTAAACATTTTACATTCTGTCTATATTTACAGCTAAGAAATGAAACACAGTCTGCTTCTCCTTTAATATGTCCATCGGATCATATCGTATTTGGTTTCACTATCTCTGGGCTCAGTATTTCTAACGTCAAACGACGCTAGAAAAACGTGGTCAAAAACAGAAGCTATAGAAATAAATAGCAACGCGCACCAGGCTAGCCGGTGTGATCATGCGTTTTGTGCAATTCAGCCCATCGAACGACTGTCTATTAATGATTTTCACTGCTTTGTA